GTAACAGTGATCCTCTCAAATAACTATTTCAAACCAGAATTTTCAAAAGAATTATATTGGACTGGACTGTCTCATTGTTGTTCTTGGGCTGGGCCTGACACCCTTCTATCCCATTTCCCTTTCTTTCTCCTTGTCTTCCACTGGAACAAAAAACCCCACATTGGCATGACTGGGATTGGGATGGTCCCAGTATTTAAGCCATGCTGGTCTGATCACTGCCTTGGTAATGGATCTTCTCGATCTCCTTCAAGGTCATTCCCTATGCCCTCAACACCTACTGAGAACCAGTTTGGTGTAGTGGTTAGGGTGATGGGCTAGAAACCAGGAGATCTTGACTTCTAGCAGGATTTAGAGCATGAAAGTCAGCTGGGTGACTCTGGGCCAGTCACTCTCTCTTAGCCCAATGCGCCTCATAGGGATGTTGTGGGAAAATAGGAGCCAGGACCATTAGATATGTATGCTGCCTTGAGTTGATAAAAAATAAAGGTGGGATAAAAATCTAAATAAATCTAATGGACATCTTGATAGAGGGGGCATGATCTTATTTATGTGATTCACTGTACATTGCACTATATTCCTATAAGCTCAATATCCCATTCAGAACAGAGTTTTAAATTACATGGGAAGTTTATAGCCATACAAAAGGCTACCTGCTAGAGATGCTTTGGCACATCTGCATGGCAGAGGGGCTGGAGCTAACAGAGATATTCCACAGCTGGCTGAGCCAAAAAATATAGCCCCATCATGTAATTGCAATCACATGGTTAATGAGTGCTTAAGCAGGGCTTCTGTTTCTTTATACACTGCTCCCGTCTTGTGAGGATTAGATGTGATAAAATTAGCATGGAGGACTTCCTACATGTTATGGATACATTGTTATCAGACACGGGACCAACCTTACAATAATGCATTTATCTTATAAAATAATGAAATCTTTGCCATGATTCTATCATGTGAAATAATATATTATATTAGTTACCATCCAGAAGCCACAGTAAGACTAGTATAGTACTTAGAACTTGCCCAGGATTTCCCTGGATCAGTCAAACCCAATCCCAAAATTATTGGCTGTCAGAGAAGGCTGTCTCTGAACGTGATATGATTATATACACAAAAATTAAAAATGTACAAGAGTAAAAGTGAAGTGTGCCTCAAATGTTAAGGTGGGAGGCAGGTACTGGCTATCTGAAGTAAGGGAAACACTGCCCAAAATAAACAACCCAGGATTCTGTAGCATCTTTTTCTTCTTTGACCTGAAGGTTAAACAAAGCTTAATCTAATTGCCCTAAAACTGGAACAGAGGCAACTTCTATTGTGAACTTTCCTATCTAATTCCCGGAGTTGAATCATCCACGAAAATCTCTTTTCCCAGGAAGAATGGTTGGTTTGAAACTTTGTACTTATTTAGTTTGCTCATGATGGAAATTATTTCACTTAATTTGGTTAGAGCTACATTGACACAGGGGTTCATTAGGACACCCATTTGCTTGCAATTCAATTTAAAATTAAATACACTTTGTTGTGGATTTTATTACTTTTAAACTACTGTATCTATTGCCTTTATTAGCAGCTATTACACAATTATGAAGGTAAACAGTTTTCATTACCCCATTTGATCTCTTTTAGGGATACAACATTTTTCTCTTTCTTTCTTTCACATAGCTAGAAGTTGGAGAGCAGTGAACAGTCTAGCTGAAGAAAAGCAGCAATTCAACAAAATTGGTGAAAATAATGAGTTAGTAATTCAAGGAGAAACATGTTGGTGAAATAATTCTTCCCCCAAATTCACTCTGTTTGATCTCATGGAACAAAGCTGGGATATAAACAACAGCAACAACAACAACAATAATACATTTTGCTGGGGTTGTATGTGCATATTTATTTGGGTTTGTGTTCAACTGACCTCAATAGGGCTAATTTCTGATTAGACATGGATAAATACAAATTGTTCATCTTTGATTCTATGCCATGGAATGGAATGTTTTTTCAAGCTTTAAAAAAGCCTCCAGAAGGGAGGGAGATCAAAAGATTTATATGTCTTTTTCAATACCTGTTCTAGGGGGGAAAGCAGCTGGTACTTGCCTGTGTATTTGTATGGCTCCCTTGAATTATCTAGGCAAGATTTTAAACAAATAAATATAGCGATTCACATTTTTAAATTATAAACATAAAATAGCTTGTTCCAATTTTATATTTTTCACAAGTTTGTTTCAATCACTGTTTTGTCAAAATATGTAACAGTGATCCTCTCAAATAACTATTTCAAACCAGAATTTTCTGGGAAAAACAAAATAATTGCTACTGATTTCTTCTCACCATTTAAGTACTGATATATAGACAAAACAAAACACCCTGTTGCTTAAAAGACAAACATGAACATTTGCAATAGGTATATTTCTACTAAGTAACCAATTACCACAAAACTACTTATACTTTTTCAATGGGCATAATAATATGTTGAGCTGAATTCTAATTTTCGTCTAATGCTTACTTTCCTTAATTTATATACAGCACCATTATACAGGAACTATGCCCAAATATTCATACCTCTGAAATACTTTAGGAAGTCTTCTACTGAACTTTCTGTCTTGGAAAATATCTTTATGTTTTAAATCCTGTATAAAAAAAAGTTTCACATATTTTAAGTTCTAAGAAGCATATTTATTATAACTATTATTTAAAAGTTTTGTAAGAATATTGATTCATCTTAACTATGGAAATATTACCCAATGTAAAGTGCTTAAAACATTGTCTCCGTCAGGTGACATGATATTCTAACAGGAAGTACAGCAAGTATTTATATTTGTTTTAAAACATGAAATAGCAGGGATAGGAGCTAGTAGAGCAAGATTTTGATTAGTTAACAGTATCTGTAACAAATTGTAGTGATGTCAAAATAACGATCCATGCATGGTGATATAATCACCTAAAGCTTCAATCTTGTATCACAATGTTTGACTCTATGTAAGTTATGGCATTATCACATGTGTCATCATCTACCCCCCCTCCCCGTTTCTGCCCCTTATGGGCATCCATGGAAGCTAGACACACATCCCACAATTCTCATTAAATTCTGCCACCCACCCACCCATGAATGTTTACACTTATGTACCACTGGATCAGGCCAAGGCCCATCTTAATCCACTATCTTGTTTCTTATGGGTTCCAGATGCCTCTGTGTACTCATAAGCAGACAACAGAGTCATACCTCTCTACTGCTGTTCCCTTACCGGGCATACTGCCCCCAACCTAGAAGTAACATTGAGTCCTTAAACCAATAACCCTTGATCTGTCCTCCATCAATTTATCCAATCCACTTTTAAAGCTGTTAAAGTTTGTGGCCATCATTATTTCTTTTCTTAATTAATTACAAATATTACTGATGTGCTATGTGAAGAAGTGTTTCCTTTTGTTTGTTTTACATCTAAACTGCCCACTTCAGCAGACTCGAAGTGGCTTATAAAATCCACAACAGTAAAAACAATTTAAAATATAACACAGACAGCCCAGACTAGAACAGTCATAACAACAGCAAGAAACCCACAACAGGGGCTCCACAAATATATTAACCTTAGGCCTAGGACCAAAGCCAGTTCGTAAGAGTTTACAGAACCCCAGGAGAGAGGCGTGTATCTCTGTGGAGGGGGGAATGCTGTTCCAAAGGGCAGGGGCCATGACAGAGAAGGCACCTTTCCTCGGTCCCACAAGGGGACACCATTTAATAGAGGGGACCTGGAGCACACCCAATTTGCTGGAATGTACCAGGAGGCAGAAACAATTGGAGATACACCTTAAATTGCACCCAGAAACTGAATGGCAACCAATGCAGCTTGCGTAGCAGTGGTAACACACGGGCATATCAAAAAGTGCCTGTTACTTCTCTCATCACTGCAGTTTGAATCAGCTGTAGCTTCCAGATGCCTTCAAGGGCAGCCCCATGTAGAGTACATTGCAGTAATACAGTTGTGCAGTGACCAGGGCGTGAGTAACTGGCTGGCCTCCCAGTCAAGGAAAGGGCACAACTGGCACACTAGATGAGCCCATGCAAAGGCCCTCCTGGTCACACCAGTCTTGAATGGGAGAGTACACTCAGGACAGGGCAGTGCAAATAACCATTGACTTCACTTGACTTTCCATTCCCATCATGAAAACAGAGTTCAAATTGACAAGAGGGATGATTCCTTATCTCATGTTAAGTGTCTAGAAGCCATGTTCAGATAAATAAAGCAATGGCCAACTTTAGAAATCTACTGATTTGGCTTAGCCTGTTACAGCCCGGCATAGAGAAAATTAGGCATTCTTGAGCCTCTCCTATTGCTATTCTCCTTCAGAGACCTTCTTCTGCCCTTTTCCCTAACAGCATGTGTGCATTTCCAGGCAACCTGTGTTTCAGGGTTGTAGTACTATACAGTTCCTTGTGAGATGTTCCTGAGGGAAGTTGCCCCCTGCTTATTTAAGAAGGGAAGATCAAGGCAGGAAGGTTTCTAGCAGTATTATGAAACTAACCAGATGAGATTAGAACAGTATTTCAAACTTGGCATACAGAAATGATGGTTTGCATATTTGCAGACTGAAAAATGGATTAGAAGGTAAGAAATTAGTGAGGGCAGTAAGAAAACCAAGATGTGAAAAAGGCTACAAATAAATTTTTTTTAAAATTATAAAAATAAAAATGAGGAAACATCTGTAGCTGCTACTTTTTTATCCACTGATTGTTCATTGCTGAATGTATCTTTTAATATGAAAATTGTGATTTAGCACATTTAGGCCAGAAAAGTCTCTTTAAGCTTCTGCAAGAAATTCAGAACCAAACTGGATGTGCAAAAATTTGCAGTTGCTATTCAACATCTTTTTCTTTTGTTGAAAACAAGTATGTCAGAAGTGGATAATTTGGATTATATAGGTTTAATTACTCTTTTGTATGTGTGCCCAAAGATTCAAAAGTCTTTCTTACTCTAGTTATTATATAGGAAGGGCATGGGAAAATCAGGAAGAAAGGTTACCTTATCTTCCATGGAAAGAGATAGAAGTTGAAAGATTAATGTGGGAACCATAGTTATGATCCAGATCAAACCATCTAGTCCCAAAGGCTGTTTTCAACTAAAGACAGTAAGTCATGATTGTATCTCTCATATCACATATACATTTGCTTTTAATAGACTGAAAAGATGCTTCAATGTGTTGTCAATTTCTGAGACAAGCTAATTATCTGATATGAAGATTGTATAAAATACATAGAGTTGAGACTATGTGTACACACAAGTGTGTAAGAAAGAGACGTGTCACATATATAAAACTCCTTCCATGCCATGGTTCCATAAGCATTCATTCAAGCAGCTGCAAATTATTTCATTCCACCAGCAGTTGAAGTATCACAGAAAACATGAGTTGGAATTATGCATCTTGCAAGGTAACTTCTATGTTACATCATCATTATTGAGAGTTGGAGTTTTGTCACACGTTGTTGATTACCATCCCCTGGCCAATGCTATCCTGATCCTAGGTCCACTCATTCAGCTGACTTGTTGGTCTCACATAACTTTGCATTCAGATCATCTTCTACACTGTACACAGTCTGCCGCTTTACAGCCTAAGATTCCCAAAAAAGGAAAACAGGTAGGCACTGCAGTAGAATATGATTGGACAGTTGCAACATTTTGGTCTGCTTTATTGCCATGTCTCTGTCTTTCCCTCACTGCATTCACAGGAGGTAACTGCAAAAACTTGGCTATCTCCACCTAAAAATGTGTTTTCCCCAAAGTGGGGGGGGGGGGGGGGTTTCTGAAGCCAAAGCACATATACTATGAGGGCAGCAAAGATTCAGGCATGGTGTAACATGATTTATGGGAGCATATCCCACCAGAGAAGAGGAGAAGAGTGTCTGTATGGTAAGTCATTCAGTGTTATGTAGTTCAGCAAGTACTAGAATAGGACAAAGGGGACCCAGGTTCACCCAGTTCAGTCAAACACTGGGTGATCTTCAGTTAATTACTTATCACAGCATAATCTATCTTACCTTGCTAGGCTATAACGGAAATAACTGGATATGGAAGGAACTGGGAGGGTAGCCACCCTGAATGCCTTGGGAGATGTGATAAAAATGGAATGAATAATATATTCTTTTTAGAAATGTAAATCACATTGGAAATATTGCAGGTCAAAAAATTATTCATATTGCTAAGATATTTAGAAGAGCTATCTTGTAAACAAAGAGAATAAGCAGTGTAAGGGGAGTAAAGATATACAATATCTTCTCCAACCCATTGTAATATGAAACACAGGATAACTCCAACAAACTACCTGATCATCTGAATATATTGTAAAGACTTCAACAAGAGGCAACACTGATTAGTCAAGAGAAAATACATGCACTAACAGTATCCTTCGTGCCGTTTAATGCCACTGTCAGGACAATGTGTATTTTAGCATAACCTTATTCATATATTGCTTTACCTTCAAAAGTATTTTATATTTGTAAAGGGTGGGGTGGTATGTCTAAGTGTGGAAGGAGCTGACAGCCTAATAAATGGACAGTGGATAGAAGCCCCTAAGGTATCATGTAAGTAATGAAATACCTTTGAGTTCCTACCTGAAGGCAACTGACAAATCAATTAGAGTACCATAAAAAGGTAAAAACCCAATTAAATGATTGAAGAGATAATTGTGACTATTAAGAGCTAATTAAATTCTATATGTTCTATAACATGTGGATTCAAATGTTCCCTTGCCAGTTAAGGAAAGATATTCGGTAGTTACAGATAAAGTTTTAGAAACGTTGGAATATCTATTGCAGTGGGTCCTGGCATAAGAAAGTAGAAAACTCGCATTTAATAACAGTTATGGTACAAAGATATCAAAGGTACACACAAACAATTTTTAAAAGGCCATAAACTGAGAATCCTACCTTTCTGTTCATTTAAATACTTCTGATCATATTTAAGATTGTATACCACTGGGAGGATCATATCTTTATTAAATATCCTAATATTATATGGAACAAGAAATGTTTATATTCTGCTCTGGTTTACACTGCAGTAAGTCTCCTGATGGGGCTGTGCTATAAATAAACTGTAGAAGATATCATATTTAAACAGTGCAATCATACGCCTGCCTAGTCAGAACTAATTCCCAGTGAATTCAATGGAGCTTCCTCTAAGTAGGCACGCATTAGTTTTCACTGTAAGTACAGACAATAAAAGCTGATAGTTCTACAGTACAAATTGTAGTTTCCCTCTGGAGTTCAATTCCAGTTGATTCAATGTTTTGAAACTATGTCTGCTTTAGAAAACCCATTGATGATCTACACCAGGATTTCTCAACCTCAGCAACTTTAAGGTGGGCAGCTGGGGAATTCTGGGAGTTGAAGTCCACCCATTTTAAAGTTGCTGAAGTTGAGGAATCCTGATCTACACTGTTCTTACATACTACTTAATAAAGGGGGGGAAGCACCATTTTTTTCAGGCACACAGTCACACTTGGCCTTTGATTGACATGGGCCAAAAAGAGGGAGGGAATCAAGTCCCAAGTGGTAATGAAGGGGACTTTACTAATCAGGAAGAATGTGTTTGGTGTACAATGTGCACAACTTTTCATGGACGCTATGAAAAATAAACATAAAGATGTAAAAAACTGTTTTAAGTGTTATACAAGAAATTGGTCCAACTACTTTTAAAAGTTGCATTGGTTATTATGTAACCATTATCACAAGAATTATCCAAACATATTTATTGGTTTATAAACCCCTTCAGTCAAGGCAATTCTAAGCAGTGTGAAAAAGTGAAGGATGTACACAGTCTGAAGGGAAACCATTGATTATTTATTTAATCAATAAAATAATGAATTTTAATTTAAATTTTTATGACAAGTGTAAATTCTCTGTTTATTTACTAGTATTTTATTTTCCATTCACTATGTCCTTTCTCACTTTCTTCTTTTTCGTCTTTTATGTAGTCATTCATTTTATTCCCTAATTTAAAAAAAAACAAAAACCCAAAAATAAACTTTAGAAAATTGTTTTCTGTTACCCCAACCAGTAAAGCAATAGCCATGGCCAGTGTAATAATAACAGGAAAATACAATCACCGAAATACAATATATCATTACCATATATTGCTTGTTTAATCTCCATAATTCCGAAGAAGACATATCACCTTGAAAAAGCACGAATGTCTATTTATGCTGCAAAGGATAAAAGTC